AACGAACCAGACGAGTGTGACACCACAGTGTTATCTGCGTGTCTATATAATATGCTATATAATTGCCAAAACCTACCTAATTTGCATAAAAAAAATTTAAATATCAAAACCCCTGTAATACGTTTTGGGACCTGCCCTTATTCATTCACATGCTAAAAATGAGCAAAATCCGTTGAACCTGAACTGACTAATGGCAATTTCCATTTTTGCCAAAAAATTGCCGTGGCTCGAAAGTACGTCAACTGGCGTGCTCCAAAATAGGACGTTCAAACCTCTCCCATAGCAGTAACAACTATACCAAATTTCAAACATGTGGGTCAAACGGTTCCTGAGTTATCGTTCACCGTAGCCAAATGTCGACGGAAGGACGAACGGATGTCAAGGTGAGCTAAAACCCGTGGGTTAGAAATTGGACGACTGACATGTCTTTGTTTATCGTGGATGATGATGAAGATTATATAGCAAGGTGATATGTGCAAGCACTGACTAGCTAATGACACCTACGCTATCCTCTGCAATGCTTGAAACCCTAATACAGTAGATAGCCCATATAATGGTGGGCTCTGTTCAAACATGGAATCAACCACGAGCAAACGGCTGTCACGCTCGCGTGGGTCCATACTAGTGCTGGCTACAAGAAACACACAACATGCAGCTTTTCCTCTGCTGCACGCGAGTTATTCATGTCTATACGCTTGCAAGACCGCACCGATGTAGCCACCGAGTGGAGACACGCACGCACACATGCACGTACACACGCTTGCACACATACACTAACACACACACACACACACACACACACACACACACACACACACACACACACACACACACACACACACACACACACACACACACACACACACACACACACACACACACACACCCAAATTCACCTCTCGGGCCATTCGCACTACAGGCATGCCTTCAACCCATTACGTTGATCCACGCCGCCTGTTCTACTGGACCATCTTAAAGCCTAAGCTAAGCTATGTTGAACCCATCGTTTGTTGATAACCTAATCTCCCCCCACCGATTAAAATACGCCGGAAAAAGGCCTTCGCAGACGACACGATTCGTAGGCCGGTTGAGTTTTCTCGATCAATTATTCTGTCGCGACGAGCGAGAGCTACGTACGTTGTTTCAGTACGAAACACAACTGATATCACGCTAACAAATGACATGAACACTGACATCCTCATTATATAGCTCTCTCGCTGTCTCGCTGCTCTTCGCGCTCTCTCCCTCTCTCTCTCTCTCGCTCTTCTCGCCTCTCTCCTTTCTCTATCTCTCTCTCTCTCTCTCTCTCTTCTCTCTCGGTCGCTCTCTCTCTCTCTCTTTCTCTCTCTCGCTCTCTCTCTCTCTTGCGCTCTCTATCTCGGCTCGTCTTCTGCTCTTCTTGCGCTCTCTCGCTCTCTTCTTGCGGCGCTCTCCTCTCTCTCTCTTTCTCTCTTTTGTCTTTCTCCGCTCTCTCTCTCTCTCGCTTTCTTTTCTCTTCTCGCTTCGCGTTTCTCTCTGCTCTCGCTCACTCAATCTCTGCTCCCCCCCCGTCTCTCTCTCTCGCCCTCGCTCTCTCTCGCCCTCTCTCTCTCTCTCTCTCCTCTCTCTCTCTCTCTCTTTTTCTCTCTCTCTCTCTTGCACCGCCTTTCCTCTGTCTCTCTCTCTGTCGCTCTGTGTGTTTCGCGTTTACGCTGTTATTTCTTGCCCATTTCGTTCTCTTTTCGTTTTCTCCCTTTCTCTACCGCCTTTAATCCGTGCCCCTCTCTCGGCCGCTCCTTTCTATTCGTTTCTCTCTCGCAACGCTCTACCTAATCCCTCTGTATTCTCTATCCATCTCTGGTTCCCCTGGTCATCTCCCTTTGCTTCCTGCTTATCGCACGTTTCGGGTTTACCCTCTTCTCTCTCTCCCTATATCCCTGCACCATTTCTCTCTGTGTTTACCGCTAGGCCACCGCCTATGAAGGTCCGGTCATTCTGTGACTCTTCCCTCACAGTCATCTTTATTAGTACAGGAAGTTCAGTCTACGGTTCATCGCGGAGCCAGCGATGGCGGCAGTGTTGTACAAACAGCCTTATTTCACGGCTGTGCCCGTTGCGTCTGTTGCGTCTCACCAGTATATATTATATATTATGATATATATATATATATTATATATATATATTATTATTGATATATATCACGTTATGTATATTATCTGTAAGGAAATCCTCTTTATGATATATATTATATATATAGGGATATATATGTAAGAGATTTGTATTTATTATTTATTTTGAGAGAGAGAGAGGACGAGTAGCCGGGAGGGAGAGAGAGACGGAGAGAGAGAGAGAGCAGAGAAGTTGAACCGCGCGTGAAACAGAGATGACGGGAAGAGACGCGGCGAAAGCGCAAAAATGATCAGTTGTGTTGTTATTCCGCGGTTTGCTTGACCAGTCGCAGTTATAGCGTCTCCGTATCATCTCCATGCTCGATTAAAATGTAAACAGTGTTTTAGCGCAGTTGGTGGCGTGGTCGCATAGATTGCCCTTCCTGTATAGGATTCAACTAGTCTCGATGGCCTCGCAAAGCTGCGGATGAGAGATCGCGCTCATCGACGTATCCTCGTTCCGCCATGAGAGTTCATGTCGATGATCGCATCACTCTCGATAAGATCTTTATAGATCATATAGCGAGCGCCGGCCACGAATCTCCGCTGCATGCGTGCGGAATTTTACACTGTTATCTCTCTCTCCTGTCTCCTCTCTCTCTCTCTCTCTCTCTCTCTCTCTCTCTCTCTCTCTCTCTCTCTCTCTCGCTCTCTCGCTCTCTCGCCCGGCTCTCTCTCGCTCTCCCTCTCCTCTGCTAGCCAGTCTCTCTTTCTCCCTCTCTCTCTCTCTCTCTCTCTCTCTCTCTCTTCTCTCTCTCTCTCTCTCTCTCTCTCAGTCTCTCTTCGTCTCTCTTTGCTCTCTCTCTTTACTCTCTCTCTCAGTCTTTCTTCTCTTCGCTCTCTTCCCCTCCTCCTCTTCTTACTCTCTCTTTTCTCTCTCTCCCCATCTGCAGTGCCTCTCTCTCGCCTCCCTCGGCTTCCGCTCGATACTTGATCTACTCTTAGTCTAGTCTATCTTATCTATCGGTTATCTCAGTCTTCCTAATCTATCTATCTATCTATGTCTTTAACCTATCTATTCTATCTAGTCTATGCTAGCTAGCTAGCGTATATCCTATCTACTCTGATGCTATATACCACTCTATCACCTATTCAAAAGTACGTCAGCTACTACTATATACATTGAGTATTCCCTATTATTCTACGTTCCTGAGTATATATACTTCAGTATACATAGTATATTCAGTTTATACGGTGATATATTATATCATAAGTGTGTGTGTGTGTGTTGTGTGCGTGTGTGGTGTGTGTGCGCGCCGCGCTGTGTTTGTTGTGTGTGATGTATGTGGTTGTTTTGTTTAACTGGCACCTGCCTCTTACTCTCGCCCCAACTCCCTCTCTCGCTCTACACCCTTTATCCTCTTCTCGTGTCGCATCTTTTTTCCCTTCTCTCTATATCGTTATTCCCTATCTTCTCTTTCGACCTCCTCTATCTTCCGTCCTCTTTCACTCCCTACCGTTACTGCCTGGCTCCTACTATTTCATCGCCCTTATTATAGACGTTACTCGCCTAAGAACCTGGGTTTGAATACTTACCTTCCTGTGCTGTACTTCTTTGATGCTAGACCTAAAGCGCTCTTTTTTTTTTTTTTCTATGGCGTAACTAACTGCCCTGTGACGTTTGTTCTGTTTTCTCTCTCTTTCGTGTGACGTTCATTCGTGAATAAGCCACGCATGCCTTCCTGAGGCAGGCTTGGCCAGTGAGGAACGGCTCGACGGGTAGCCGACGAGCACATACAACAAGGTACTGTACGTAATATCAGGAGTAGGTAATAGGGATTGATCCGTCATTATCTATCGCTGACTCATCATTGTTTAGGCGGGCTCGTAGGGTGGGTCACCACTGACACAGGCCTATATATAGTCCCTCGCTACAATACGACGAGGAATCGCTCTACCATATCTCAAAATTAAGCACAAAGAAGAGCAAGACGAAGCAGTAGACGAAGAAACCAGAACCAAGAACGCCGGGGTGCAGAACTAAGCAGCAACAACGTGTAAAACTACGTGGCGTACAGACTTACAGGTGTACCGTATAGTAACATAAAACACGATACGCTGGTGATTTTCTCCGCCCCCTCACCCCAGCGTTGGTTTCACTATACTATTTTAGTTTATATTGTTTTTATGTTGTGGGGTGTATTAGTGGGGTAAGTTGGGCGTTGTATTATAATTAAATATAAAAACTCCCCTAAAATCATACTGCGTAGTAGTGCTTGTGTGTGTGTGTGTGTGGTTGGTGTGTGGTGGTTGTGTGTGTGTGCCTATAGACTTCGATATCTTCAAACTAGTGCGATTCCCTCAGTTAATAACAGACAGCTTCTAAACTTGACAGGGCGCCGTCGCTCCGCTTCTATCACACGAGTTCGGTAGTGAATTGACATGACGGGCGTCCTCATCGCCGGGTCCGCTAATCTCGCTGGACCCCTTTCTACATCACATCAGCGCTGTCCGTACACGCGAGCTGATCGCCCGTGGCACACAGTCACACACACCACCACGCCACAGCAAGCACTGCGTCCACACACCCGTGCACGCCGATCACACCATTCGTAGCAACACATCTCCTCGCATCTCATCGACATACCCGCACCATACCTATAGTCTTTATGTCTTCTTATTCTGTTGTATTCTGTCTTGAGATATTGTCCCGTGTGTCTCTCTATTTTGCTGTGTGTCGTGTCGTATGTGTGTTGTATTCATATGTCTGTATGTATTATATCTCTTATCTGACTGACATATCTATTTTTCTGTGTGTGTTTTCCGCTTTATCTTATCTTATTTCTATGATACACACACACACACACACACACACACACACACACACACACACACACACACACACACACACACACACACGCACACCAACACACACACGCACCTGCAAACACACCAACACACACACACGCACGCACGCACGCAAGCAGATTCGCCGCGACGACACCACGAAAAACATCGCGCGTGTGCGGGGCCCCTCCGCTAAAGTCTGCCGTAACCGCGGGTGATGGATGCCGCCGTGCGTCGCCACGGTTACTTCTCGGTGAACGACAGCTGGATGATGCGCTCGAGCTCAGCCTGCTCCTGCTTGCGGCGCGCTGCCGCACCGTCGGCCTCGCGCTGAGACATCGCCATGGCGATGCGCAGCTGGTCATCGCTGCACTCAGGCTCGCTGTTTTCGCTCATGTTTCCGTTTGATATGTTGACGAGGTCGCTGTCACTGGAGCGAACGCTCATGGCTGCAGGCGCTGCTGCCGCCGCTGCCGCCGTGTCATGCAGCCTCCCCTCGATTGCCCTGGCAACAGCGTCAAGCATGCAGAAACATTATTCGCCATCACACCGCATTCATCTCCCGATGAAGCTACGTTACATAGGAAAACATTTGGGTGTGTTACTGCAGATGATTCATGGGCCGTGTGTACCAGGAGTAAGACAATAATAAAAGAATTAATTTAGACACAATGTGAAATATCTTGCTTCTGGTCGCAAATATGTATTTGTACATCAATATAAGTATATATGGGTGTATCATATATAAATCGTCCATACATATAGCTGTGTTAAACGTTTTACCCACTGTCATTATATACTGTCTTGTCTTATATATGTCGTGGCATCTTATATATTGTCAACTCCTATACCCATACCCGATGTCCTGTCGGATTTATTACCTATCAAATTATATTACATAAAATATGTATTCACACTAGACTGTACCTCTGCAACTGTCGCTCTTCGTAGCTGATATAGGCCGATGGCGTAACAGTTCGATTCGGCTGATTCGGCGACGTATCGGATGGTCTTCTGTTGGTCAACGCCTCCCAGACGGTCACCTGATCGTTTTCGCTTCCGTTCTCTAGGAGGCTCTGCTGGATGGCAAACTGCAGCAGCTCATCATCCTCATCTCTAATGTGCTCAACTCGGTGCACGTCTCCTGCAGATACAGGGGAAGAGTAATATAATATAATACAAGAGCCGCAGAGCGTCTGGGCTCATCTGAGGTCTGTTGCTATGGTTATAAACGTAACATTTAAGTCGTGCAGAGTGACACCTTTGTTAGGCGCAGATATGCAGATACACAGTTGCGTACACATCATTTCAGCAACCTTCTGCATTCTGCATACCTTCCAAATCCCATTGGTTGATACAAATCGCGTGCATGAAACTCCTGTTTTATGGTGCATTGTGACCCTAACCCTAACCCTATTAAAAATATATATATATATGTTGTTATGAAATTGTTGTAAATAAATCATGTAAATATTTGCGTTAATTGGAAAAAAAATAGTTAAATGGAAATGTGCTTTCCACTGACGTGCGAAGAGTAAGTGTCTGATAACCTTTTGACCCTCAAGAGGAGGGTTAAACATGGATTCCTGAACTGCCTCAATGATGTCACAGTGTTCTCATATTCATGGCACATCCATAATCTAGAAAGCCCAAAAGCCTTGATAGCTCAACGGCTACAGCACAGGATTACGGCTCAAAGGTCCTTGGATCGAATCCCATCAGATTTTTTATTATTTACCTGTTTTCTGTATTTTTCTATCTTTATCACTCTGTCCGTTAGGCAATGTCCTCAGAAGATGTCTGATATCTGACCTTTCCCCACTGCCCTTTGACCTGTGACCTCCAATTTCGCACTGGTGATGGGTTTCCTGCCCATCACACTATACACCGAATATTAAGAGCATAGGTCGAGCCGTTTAGATTTGTGCCGCAATTCTGCATTTCCTCCCTATACCTTAAGTTAAAGAGGGAATGTTCCTTCTTTTACACCTCTTGACCTTTGACCTTTGACCCCCAGCTTCGACATCCCAACTCGTTTTCGGATTACGTCCCGACTTTCGAATCCGTACGTCGAGCCGTTTAGATTTGTGCCCAACTGTTGACGGACGGACACACGCACGGACAATCATGCGATTCTACAAGCTGCATCTGACTATGTCAGATAAGCTAAAAATCATTCCATGTAGAAAATAACGACCTTTCTGCACATCAATGTATACTACACACTGTGTAACACACAGTAGAAACGTCATGGTTGCCACACTGATGATATGCACACATACATACATACACATACATTGGCGGATTCAGGGGGGTGGATTGGGTGGCTAGCCACCCCGCTCTGTTGGACTAACAATATTTTTACACATATAGGGTATACCAATTAATTATTGCCAAGTATAATAGTCGCGCGGTTGTACAAAACGGCACCTGATGCATGGGTTAAATTATGTACTTGAGCAGGCATTACTACAGGCATTTGTAATTAATACAACCCGTTTACAGCTTTTTTCACAATTGCAAGAAAGAGTTTTGGCTGTAGCCCTCATTCCAGCGGTGGTCACCCCCTCCCTACATATTCAATAATGCCCCCCCCCCGTGCATCAATCAATGCCGCGCTGCAAACGCAAGAATTGTCGTATTCAGAATGAAGGCTGTACAATGTACATAAAAGTGCCTCAAACACCATTTCCTGCCATCTACATTTTCAAAATTTTCTGGGGTAGGGCCCCCATACCCCCCGCCTGTTTTCCACCCCCCTCCTTGAAATCTTGGATCCGCCACTGACATACGCACACACGCACACGCACACGCACACGCACACGCACACGCACACGCACACGCACACGCACACGCACACGCACACGCACACGCACACGCACACGCACACGCACACGCACACGCACACGCACACGCACACGCACACACGTACACACATATACACATCAGATAACGAGAGAGAGAGAGAGGGTGAGAGAAAACAAGAGAAAGTGTGTGCATGTGTGTATGCGTGCATGTGTGCGTAGGTGCGTGTGTGTATCTGTGCGTGCCTGCGTGCGTGCGTGCGTGCGTGCGTGCGTGCGTGCGTGCGTGTGTGCGAGGGAGAGAGAGGCGCACAGATAGAGTGAGATAGAAAGAGAGTGCGAGCGGTTGTAAGACATGCAGTGTGACATCGTGCATAACAGAAGTTCCATCACAACACTCAAGGCGTAATGAGTATGGGGGGGAGGCACTTACCTTATGCCATCATTTGTCACCACGGAGGGATACCGTCTACACCGTGTAGGCTCTATATCATACTATCAGGAGTAAATAATAATAGATTCTCTTCTAAATCTATTATTATTCACTCCTGATAAGGCAGATACACACATATAGTAGAGAATTTTCACTGAGAATATGCTTGCTTCACACTGCTGCCACGGAGATTCAGATACATTTCAGGGCAATTCAATGACAAGGACTCGCATTTTAGCGGCGTCTGGTTTTTTCCAGTCACATTAAAATGCAGCTATATTGCGTGAAATCTACAATCAAGTAAGATGCCACCCAGATGGATGCCCAGGACAAAACAAATTGATAGGTGATTTCTAGTGATTGCAATCAGAATTACTTATAGGCAGCAGCTGAAACAAACAATTTATGACACACACACACAGACAATAATTAACGGCAACAGCAACACACCCTTACCTTCAGTCATCACAGGGCTTCAGCCTCGGTACTATTAAACTATAAGATGCTAAATACTGCAATTTCTCGTCACGACCTGAGAGTGTGAGACAATGACAACAACTGACGGTTTCCATGACTACTGCCTGTTACAGTGTCTTATGTGCTGTCTCCAAGATTACCCACATTGTCATTCGTCACGGTGACAATCTGCTGCAATGACGAGATACTGCCTGCACGCTCAGCCATGCACGGACTCAGTTAGAGTTACTCTACCCAAAATCTATCGCACCGTCTAGGTAGTACTCGCACACCAACTGAACTAACAATATTAACATACTTAAATGTGCGTAATCCGTGTCCTAATTAATGAGCTACATTGCCGGGCTTTAATAAATCGAGCACTGTTGTCCCTGTTGCATGAGTGAGCTGGTTTTCCAATAGGGAAGTGAACAGGACAAACAAACCTTGGCAGTGCAGTGTTTCCACCCATCATCTCTGCTTGGCAGCGCTGTTACCGTGGCAATGACTTACGCTTCAATGAGGGTGTGGTGGCAACGGTATTTGACTGCTGCTAGTAGTTGGTAGTTATAGACGAACGCAGGGGGGAGAGGAGGAGCACGGGAGGTGAACGTACGTGTAGCGATGAGACGAACAATGGGAGAACGCACCACATCGAAGCGCTAGTAAACCTATAACTAGCGAACAGTGTAAAACACAGGGAACACGAGAGCGAATAAACAGGTGGATGTTAATTAACGACAGATCAACACGAGGGGTTAAAACAATCGGAAGTCTATATGCTCATGAGCAACAATCAGGTAAGCTTAGTACACGAGTACTCTATACGCAATACGTAATAAAGAGAGCTAGCCCTACTTATAACCTGACCTAATATAAAGCGATGCACCAGGAGCGTACATTCGATTCATTGCAAACAAATCTTCATCGTTTCAATCACTAGGCTTGACTTTGAAATAAAAATCCGCCTGCTACCACTAGGCACATACACTGCATAGCAGAGGCAACTGACAGTAGTGCCAAACTGTAACAGATATACAAGTGCTTAGCTGTAGCAGACCTAAGGGGGTTTAGCTAGAGTAGACGTAGTAGTGCTTAGCTGTAAGAGTTGTACTGTAGATTGTTTAGCTAGAGCAGATAAACGGGAGCTTCGCTTTAGCAGGTAAACGGGGTGATACTCCTTTAGGAGTGTTCCCAACTTTAATGTCATTAATGGTCATAATAACATATATATGGTCATGGTCATATATTAGTTTGTGGTTTAATGTCATTTAGGTTAGGGTT